ATGATCCCAAACCTATTCTCTAGATAAGCTAAATGATTCCCTAATGTAAAATCAGTCATGTGGAACAACATAGAGACCAACGACACTGAACCACTGCTTTGCACAGGCTCACATAGGGTGGACACACACACACAAAGGTCCATAAACTTTAGAGGCTGTGGCTAAACTCATGTCTCAAACTTTAATAATTACTCACCAGAACGGTATATTTGTATAAAGCATATTTTATGGATACAAAATTCATTATGAGATCTCAACTATACTCTGTATGTAATATACATATTACATAATTATTTATTTATTATATATAATATATTTATTTATCATATCTGAAATGATTGGGATCAGAAGCTATTTGGATTTGGGACAGGTTTTTGAATTCTGGGAGCTCTACCCATGTATAATGAGGTATCTTGGGAATTGGACCAAAGACTAAGCATGAAATTTATCTGTGCACCACAGTCCCCTTAAATGCACAGCCTGAACGACCCTACACATCTTTATCCACCTACGACCCATCATGCGAGGCCAGGTGTGGAATTTTCCACTTGCGTTGCCGTCGTGGCTCCCAAAACCTTCCCAGTGTTAGAACCTCTTGGGTGTCATCATCTCTGGTAAGGGATGTTCAGACCACGAATACATTCTACACGATGGAGAGAGGAAAAAAAAATCTAGTTGCCTCTGAGTGGCGGATAGTGGAGAACAGCTTCTCTTCCATGCATCTCAAATTCACAGACCGGATTAGAGATGAAAATCATGCTTCCAGATGTGTCTATGTTCAACGGGATTCAATGAAGTCTTTAAATACAGGCTGCAATCTTTCCGTACACTCAACCCAGGTGGAGAATTCCCAGGTGACAATGGAAGCGAGCAGACTGTGGAAGAGGAGACCAATGAGGGAGAGCTCCCTCCTTGGCAGGCTTCTCAGGAACAGTAGCTTTTAAACAAAAACCACAATCCTAGTGAGAGACACAAAAGCAAGGTTGAAGGGGCGCTCCAGACACAGCGCAGCCTGGGGGTTTCCAGCTTTGCAAGACGTGACAGGGCTCCATCAAAGGATCGTCCTGCTGTCTTGGGCAAGGACCTGAGACATTTTAAAGGGAGGGGGATGAGCTTCCAAAGGCTGCGTTCAAGGAGGGGCTCATAGGGGCGAAAAAACCACAGGCACGTGATTCTGACCTTCAACTCAGTGGTTCACCCCTATGGAGGAGTCTGTAATGAGCATGGATTGAAGTCAGTAGTTAACCGAGGCCAACCTTCTCCAAAATCCAGAACATGAAGAAGTATCTACTATGCCTGGTACCTCAGGAGTAGCGCAGCCCATGGCGAAGGCTCTAATCTTAATGTGTTTAAACTGGGGCCAGTCACCAGAGAACCAGGAGTCTGGGAATGGGCATGCCCCAACAGCAGCAGAACTGGCGGTAGAAGCCAGGCACTCTTGATAAGCCCTGAAGCCACTACCATCCTGGAGCTGGAGATGAGGGACTACTTCATACATTCAGCTAATAGATATTTTGTGGGAGCCTTTTATGTGCCAGGCCTGTACAAATGTCTGGATTAGAAAAGAACTCTAGGATCCTGTCCCTGACCAAAAAAAAAAAAAAAAAAAACCAAACACTTCATGAGGACTATTAACTCAGAAGGGTCAAGGATTTCTAAAGAAAACTGCCTAACTGTCAGGGGCCCACTCCTAAATCTTCAGCAGCGTAACCAATGGCCAATTATCTAATGGTCAATTACTCAAGCTCCCAATTACCCAACCTCATGAACTAGGAAAATACAAAAGACAATGGGCTTCAGACTAGAATGGGAGGGGGCATTTGCCAGAGACTTGGGCAGCATTTTGGTTTTGGTTTTTTTTTTTTTTTCCTCTCCTCACACCTCTCCAACCAGCAAAGAAACTTAGAGTTCATTTCTTCTTTCACACACTGCTTTCTGTCCCCGGAGACTTCCTGATAGAGGACTTCGGGGGGTGAGGGGGGCACAGTCTGGTCTGCAATGTGGTCCCTTCTGCCTCTGCCAAGCTGATCCTGAGAGAATTCCCAGGCAAAAAGACTGCCTGGACCATGAGACTTCAGAGACTTGGAGATTGTATCACTTTCAAGTTCAAAGCAGCAAGGGCTGGAGCTGCCTCTCCAGCTAAGAGTTTTGGCTCTTCTCGCAGAAGACCAAGGTTTGGTTCTCAGCACCCACATCAGTTGGCTCATAGCCACCTGTAACTCCATCTCTAGAGGATTCAAAACCCCTTAAGGCCTCTATGGGCCCCTGTACACATACAGTACACATGTGCGTGCATACACGCGCACACACAAGTACACGCATGCGTGTGCAACACAATAAAATTCTTAAGGTGCTGGAGGAACGACTCACAGTTAAAGGTACATACACACACTGTTTCAATTCCCAGAACCCATATGGAGTATCTCAAAACCACCTGTAACTCCCATTCCTGGGGATCTCATACCCTCTTCAGACCTTCACAGGCACTGTATACACACACACACACACACACACACACACACACACACACACGGCAAGAAGGGAGCAATTAAAAATAAAATAAATCTTCTCTCTAATCTTTTCTGAAAGTTCAAAGCAGAAAAAAAAAATCACTTGGCCTCAGTTAACAACAGTGTTTCCAAAGCATATTTTTATGCCCCATATAGCAGGACTAACAGGGGTTCCACAACACGACCTATAATTTCAAGTAAGAACTTTCAATTAAACATTCGTAGGTTCATATCCAATCGGCGTTTTGAAAGCAGCATTTGCCCTGCGCTAGAAGGGGGATCAGAAAAAGCAGACTCCTCGTGATATGAATTATAAACATTTGGGGGAGAAAAAGGGGGCCAGAAAGTAACCATCAAGACAGGATCAAAGAGGTGCATTCAGTCCAGCACAAGCTCAGACAAGGCTGTGGATCCAGAAGCTTACACTGGAAAAAGAAAAAAAAAAACCTAAAGCCACTTCTAAGTCAATTAAAAAGTTAATAAATTCTGATGAGCACTGGAAGACCAAGACACCAGTTACAGGTTACACGTTTCTCCCCCACCATCACAGCTATGGTCCGTGCAGATGGAATGCTGATGGTAATGCACAGGTACAGGGAGGTTCAGGTACATTCCTGCCGAGAGCTCCTCAGCATTTCTGCTGAGAATTACCGGGCATGCACCATCCCAGCAAAACTTGAATAGGCCTGAACAGAGCTCTGAAGTCTAGACCAAATCATTGGGCCCTTTGTCTAAACCGCAGGAACCTCATTATATCTGCATACCAACCTGTCTTCTAGCCCTCTGGGGAGAGAATCTGGCTTGGTCCCGGGTGGCCCCAGGAGCCTGGCACTCTTGAGATGCCCGCCTGTCTGGTCCCACCCTCTTGCAGCCCAGAATGCCAGCAAAGTCCATTTTTAAATTCCCTCAGAAGTTTCACAACCACGGGTTTTGAGCGAGGAGACAAACACCGCTTTAGTTTGCTGACATGAAACTAAAAATATGAGCGGCAAACAAAAGCCATCTTTTACCAGGACCGGCTGGGGTGTCCTGGGGTTCCATGCGGTAGCACAAGACCATATTCTTGGCAGCCAGGCCGTCTTAACAACTGACTGTTCCACAAGGAAGAGGGGCCAGTCTGTCCCTGCGCTGTCAAGGAATCCCACAGCCGGCAGCCCTGTCTGTTCAACGCAAGGAACAGCTTCATGGCTCTGCCATTCACCGAGGGGCAGGCTTGATGAATTCAGGTCCGCATCTACTGAAGATGTTAGGTACACACTTAAAGAAGGCGGGGAAGCAAAACCAATCTTATTTCCCCTGGAAGGAAATGTGTTTCCTTCTCCCTCCTCCCTCTCTGCAATTAGAAAACTAAATGATTACTGTGGCAACTCCAGAGGCGACAAAAAACGAACCTTGATGCCAACGTGGCCCAGTACAGGTCTGTTGATCCAGGATAAATGGGGGAAGGGGTTCCTGAGACCAAGACCAAGTCCTACCTGTTGGGCTTCCAAGGTTTGCTGCACAGCCGGGCCCAGGGCACCCCTCTCTTCTCTAGTCCCAAACTTTCCTTCTGGAACCCCCACCCCCGGAAAAGGGGAGCTTGGGCTCTCCCTATCCTGATAGGAAACGTGGAATTTAGCCTAAGCCGGAGAGAATATGGGGAAGAATTCGTTCTTGTGCTACGGAGACTCCGAATGCTCAGAACCCAAGAAGAAGGGATAAGCCTAGGAACTGCACAAAGTGTCTCCAAGAGCTGTGATGGCCAAACTGTGACCCAAAAACTCTAGCGTCCCTAGATCGGGTCTGGAGCCAGAAGGGGGTGGGTGAGCCAGTCCCTGGGGCACCAGCTGCAAGGTCACTGCGGAGTTAGACCCTGGGGTGTTTCGCAAAAGATCGCGCTGAGCGGAGGGAAGTGCCGGGAACCCACCCACCCGGGAACCAACCCACCCTCTCCCCACACCTGCTCTGCGCAGCCGAGCCTGGAACACGTGGTAGCTCAGCTTAGGGCTTCTCGAACCGGCTGCAGAGACCCACTACCTCGCCCGGGCGTGCACCAGTCGCCCCGGGGTACCCAACCAGGAAGAAGCAGCGCTCGCTGGAGCAGAGCAGCCGGCTCCCGGCGCCGGTTTCATCCCAGCCCTCAACAGCAACCGGGACCGAGTTTTGTTGGAATCCCACCAACCCTCGACCCCGGCAGCTTCCAACAACCCCTACCTTTCTCTGCCACCTAGCCAACAGACAAGACACAAAGAAAAAATAATAATAATAAAAGGGAAAGAAAGACGGGGGCCACACACGCCGTCTCTCCTAGTGGTCTCAACCTCCAGCCTGGAGCTTGGAGAGGAAGAGGAAGCGCACCTTCCCTCTGCCCATCCCAACTCGGTGACCCGCGGATCCCAGTAGCAAGGAGCCCCGAAGAGGCCGAAGAGAAGAGGTGAGGTTGGAAGAAGCAGAAAGCAGAGCGAGAAAGGAGAAAAATATCCAACAAAACCACGCTAACGCGCCCCCTACCTGGGTGCAACATACTTTGGAAATAGAAGATGACCAAGATAAAGGATCCCAAGCAAGTGGCCAGCACCATCCGGCAAATTCTGTTCATCCTCATCACTTCCAGCAGCGCCGGCTTCATGGCTTTGTCCTGGCCGCGGGGACCCGGCTGTCCGGGAGGCGCGTCCGGAGCGCAGAAGCGGGTACCCCGCCGCGGGGAACCAGCGCCCGGGAGGTTCAGAACGGAGCTGGCCGAGCTCCGGAGCTGGATCCCGTTCGCTTCACCGAGGCTCTCCGAGCCCCCAGTCCGGGTCTCCGGGCGATGGGGGTGCAAGGCGCGGGAGTTGCTGTGCAAGTGTGGAGATGCGTGGCCCCGGCCGCGCGCTCCTGCCGGTCCGCCTCGCCTCTGCTCG